ACCAGAGGGTCGGGACAGCATATAACGAAATAGGTTCAAAACGTGGACATTAGAGACAATGCGGATCCGAGAGTTGCGAGGAGAGTGCAAAAGAACAACCTCAGTCTGGAGAGAAGTAGAAGTCACGATGCAATGTGTGAACTCTATCTCGAGTAGGAGGCCGAGCACGGGGACATGTCGCCATGGAACTGAATGAGTGTGTTGCTGTTGGAACCGAGCTTATATCCAACGTACATGATCAAGAAGACATGGAACTTGAACAAGATGATGGCTTACTTGGAGAACAAGAAATGGTCAATAACGAAGAAATAACCCAAGGTAATATATCGAAAGAGCATATATTACGAGATTCGCCGTTAGAAGATTGATCACGTCTCACTATAATGCAGCTACAGAATGTAAACTTTCCACTTAGGAATTACTTCAAATATTTTATTTCCTTTTGTCTTGTAGCATATTTCCTTGTTATATATGTAGCATATTCCCATTGTATATCCATCATCGAGAGACAATACAATCTGAGTATTATTTTCAATCCTAAAGCTTTCTTTTTCGTGTCTTCTTTGATCAGACTCTGCTTCTTATTCCTTCAGCCTTCATCGAGCAAACCCATTTCAAAATAATTCACATGGTATCAGAGCCCAAAGGCTGTTGATATCGTCTCTTCCATCTTTTCTTCGAAACTCTTTGTGGCCTTTCCTTCAAACTTACTCGTTCTGCATCAAACAATGGAAACTCTGTCTGCAAAATCCATTCCTGTCATCCTCACCGGAGATAATTATTTCTATTGGTCTAAGGCGGCCAAGGCGGTGCTCAAGAGTCGTGGCCTTTGGGAACATATTACCCAATCTCAAGTCATCGAGACAACCCCCGCTGCTGCTGAGAACGTTGCCAGCCAAACACAGGCTGAGAATCAGGGAGTCAACGCACCAGTCCCCATTGCCGGCCGAACTCAGGCCGAGAAGAGCAAATGGGTGCAAGAGGATAGTCTTGCCCTTGCCATACTTCAAAGCTCATTGGATTCCAATGTGCTCAAGTCATTTATTGCTCCGGAAACTGCCAAGGAGCTCTGGGATGCACTCCAAAGCGTTTACGGTAATGTGACGAATCTTTGTCACGTTTTTGAATTAAAAAAACGCATGTTTGCCTTGCAGCAAAATGGAAAATCCTTCAACATCATTCATGGAGAGTTTAGTGCTCTATGGACGGAGTTGGAAGAGTTACGCCCTCCCACGGTGGACATTAAGGCGTTCAAACAACGTTTGGAAGAAGACAAAGTCTTTTCGATTCTTCTCACTCTTAATGGGTCTTACAATGATCTCATCCATCATATCCTACGTCAAGAACGTCTCCCTAAGTATGATGAGGTATGTATGATGATTAAGCGAGAGGAAGGAGGTCATAATCTCTTTCCCGGCATAACTGAGCTTGCTCATTATCGCAAAGCTCCCTTTCCGTCGAACCCTACCCCTGGCCGTGAGCGTCGGATCATTATTTGCGATCACTGCAAAAAATCTGGTCACACTCGTGACAAGTGTTGGTTGATCCACCCTCACCTTAAGCCTGCTCGATTTAAGGAGTCATCTCCTAACCGTGGCCATGCTCTTCATGCTGCGAGCACGACAATGACGTTCACTCCTGATGAAGTTCAAGGGTTCAAACAACTTCTCCTTGCCATGAAGGACAAGGAGTCCGGTAATGTATCATATCCCTCGTCTTTTGCTCCTTTGCCAACACTTATAATTGATTCCGGAGCAACTAATCATATGATTAGTGACTCTAATTTACTGCATAATATTAAAAAGATTTGTGGCCGAGTTTCTGTGGCAAATGGGAAACATGTACCCATTGTTGGTCAAGGGGACTTGTCTGTCTTTAATCAGGAAGTACCGGCCTTTCATGTGCCGGATTTTCATACCAATTTGTTTTCCGTTCCTGCACTTACTAATCAAATTGATTGCTCCGTTACCTTTGATTCTAATAAGGTTGTTTTTCAGGATATTAAGACGGGTGCTTTGCTTGGGAAGGGTACAAAGAAAGATAACCTTTATGTGGTTGAAGACATGTGCCCTACCTCCGAACAAGCTTTTACCTCATTGTGGCATGCTCGTCTAGGCCATCCTCATGATAAAGTGCTCAAGTTACTCGTTCACTCGTTCCGGAATCGACCCGCTGACCAAAAAGGTTTCAAATGTTATCATCCTCCCACGAACCGAATGTACATTTCTCGCGATGTGGTTTTTGAAGAGAATGTCCCATATTTCACATCCTCTGATTGGCAAGGTGTTGAGGACCTCCTTCCTACAGATTCACGTTTTGTTCCTTTTTTTAATTTTTTTATTGATTCTACCAATGCATTGACTAATCATACGTCACAAGGTGCTCGAGATTCTTTTAGTGTTTCATCTTCTACAGGTTCTCCTTCGGCCAGCTCTGATCGTGGTGTCGAACCCCCTGTTTCTGCCTCTTCTCAGTCGCCACCTTCTGATCAGTCACTTGCTGAGAATTCTCGGCATGACGACATCACTTTTGGCGGTTCTCCTGCTGTCATGTCTTCGTCTTCCGCTGACAGTGAGCATGCTCCTACATCGGCATCTGATTTACCCAGTCATGCTGCAGATTATGAGGTTCCGATGGCTGATCCTCCTCTTCGTCGGAGCTCCCGCCTTCGCCAACCCACATGGAAGGTCCGAGACAATCAGATTCAACACTCTGCCAACACCGTCCTTGTTCCAACAGCCAACATTCGTCCTCCTACGTCGGAGTTTATTGGTTATTGTGCTAAATATCCTATTCAGCCTTATTTGTTTTCTGATCCAATATCATCTCCTGCTATTTCTCTCTTAAGTTCTCTTGCACAGGCTACAGAACCTCGAGACTTCGACGAAGCTAATCTCCATCAGGTTTGGCGACAAGCAATGATGGAAGAAGTTACCGCCCTTGAAAAGAATAACACATGGACAGTTACAAAGTTACCACCCGGCAAAAATGCGGTTGGTTGTCGGTGGGTATACAAAATAAAGTATCGAAGCAACGGCGAGGTTGAACGTTACAAAGCTCGTCTTGTGGCTAAGGGATTCACTCAAACCTACGGCGAAGACTACACCGACACATTCGCTCCGGTTGCAAATCTTAAGTCGTTCCGTGTTATTGTTTCATTAGCTACTAACCTTTCTTGGGATTTATGGCAGTTAGATGTTCGGAACGCGTTTCTTCAAGGTGATCTTGAGGAGGACATCTACATGAAACCACCACCCGGACTTCACCTCGGGAATGATAATGTTTGCCATCTCAAGAAGGCTATTTACGGGCTAAAACAATCCCCGAGGGCATGGTACAACAAACTTCGGTTTGCTTTAACCTCTCATGGGTTCTCTCGGTCAGAGGCGGATCATTCCTTATTTATTCTTCGCCGAAATAATCTTGTTACTATTGTTCTTGTCTACGTTGATGATATTGTTCTTACAGGGAATGATATCAAAGGGGTTATGGAAACAAAAACGCTTCTTAAACAAACATTTGACATAAAGGACCTCGGACCACTTGCCTATTTTCTCGGCATTGAACTCTCTCGCACCAAAGACGGAATCTATCTCTCTCAAACCAAATATATCTTGGATCTTTTACGTGAAACAGGAAAGCTCGGTGCCAAGCCCGCAATCACACCACTTGAAGCCTCTTACAAACAACAACGCGAGGGGGAACGTTTTCCGGATATCACACAATATCGGCGCGTTGTAGGTAAGTTAATCTATTTAACAATTACTAGACCTGATATATGTTTTTCGGTGAACCAGGTTAGCCAATGGATGCACGCACCAACAGATCTACATTGGAACATGGTCAATCGGATACTTAGATATTTGAAAGGAACTCCAACAAAAGGATTGTGGATGAAGTGTAACAATGACGTGGGGATAACGGCATATTGCGACGCGGATTGGGCCGGAGACAAAATCGATCGAAAATCAACCACGGGCTACTGCACATTTGTTGGAGGAAATTTGGTGACATGGAAGAGCAAGAAGCAGAATGTCGTAGCAAGGTCAAGTGCCGAGGCGGAGTACAGAGCAATGGCAAACACTACGTGCGAATTAATTTGGCTCAAGCATCTCTTGGATGATCTCGGAATCTCGTGCACACTCCCGATGCCTCTACATTGTGACAACCAAGCCGCTTTGCATATAGCCGCTAATTCGGTATTTCACGAGAGGACGAAACATATAGAGGTTGATTGTCATCTCATTCGAGAGAAGATCACTCAAGGGCTTATAGCAACCGAATACGCACGGAGCTCCGAACAACTAGCAGATATCTTCACCAAAGCTACGAGATCATACGTACTTGAAAAGCTCCTTAGCAAGATTGGCCTCGTCGACAACCTACGGCCAATCTTGAGGGGGAATGTTGGAACCGAGCTTATATCCAACGTACATGATCAAGAAGACATGGAACTTGAACAAGATGATGGCTTACTTGGAGAACAAGAAATGGTCAATAACGAAGAAATAACCCAAGGTAATATATCGAAAGAGCATATATTACGAGATTCGCCGTTAGAAGATTGATCACGTCTCACTATAATGCAGCTACAGAATGTAAACTTTCCACTTAGGAATTACTTCAAATATTTTATTTCCTTTTGTCTTGTAGCATATTTCCTTGTTATATATGTAGCATATTCCCATTGTATATCCATCATCGAGAGACAATACAATCTGAGTATTATTTTCAATCCTAAAGCTTTCTTTTTCGTGTCTTCTTTGATCAGACTCTGCTTCTTATTCCTTCAGCCTTCATCGAGCAAACCCATTTCAAAATAATTCACAGTTGCCTCCGAGATCTCACAAAACACCAACAACGATGACAACTTTTCCCATGTCCGTACGAGTCTGGTTATGTCGGATGAGTTCAGTCTCGTTCGAACCAAAAAAATATATAAGAAGTAACATCTACCTTTTTATATTCCAAACTAAATTAAATTGAAGGGATGGAAAAGAGATATAAATATATTTTTTATTTTTTATTTGTTATACATAGTGGCCACATCAGTTGCAGAGTATTAAGACAAAGATAAGTAGCAAAAGGACAGGGGTCGTGCCGCTGTGGTAATATATAACCCCAAAAAAGAGTGAGTCGTGTTCCAACATTCAGTTAACAGAAGCAAACCAAAGCTGGATACTGGATCCAACCAAATTTGGTGCCGTGTCTGAGCACCGAAATTCGTGAGCGGAACTGTCTATCAATCTCTGATTAGTAGGCCTCTCTTTCCAGATCGCATAGGTAGCAATCTGCCAGACTAAATGGGTTGTCCATCTCCTGGTTTTGCACCCTCGGATGGAGCCTAACATCTATAAAATATTGAGCCAAGAGGAATTAGGGTGTATGTACCCTAATTTACCTAGAGTATCTGACGAACCTCCGAAGAATAAGCACATTTGAAAAATATATGATCTCTAGTCTCCACATGGACTTTGCAGAGGAGACAAAGAAGATCCACATTCAGACCCCAAGATAAATAACCTTGATTTCGTTGGGCATCGGTCGAGATTGATGATCCAGCAAGCGAAAGCATGCTTGGAAATGTGGTGTTTGTACCAGATGGAATCCGTCCAGTCGATTGATTGAGTAGATTGGTTTACAATTTTCCATCTTTCCTTCGCTACCAACTCTGTCATTTGCTTTCCTGCGATTTGCCATACAGTGGTATCTGAGTTTTGATTGAGTGTGATGGACGTGAGGTGAATTGCAAGCTGGAGAGTCTTTTCAGACCTCGTTCAAGAATGACTCTGAGACAAAAGCTTGAAGAATAATGCCTAGATGTGTTGGACCTCCTCTGCCAAGAAAATTAATAAGTTAGCCCATCAGGGTCCAAGGGTCAAACCAGAACTTGGTATGACTTCCGTTGCCAAGCTGTATATTGAAGAAAGTAGAAGCCCAGGTCTCTCTCATTTGCCCCTCTCGATGGTTCAGATTTGCCTTGCCAAAAGAAAGTTGAGCAGAGAGCATTGATTTGCTTGATGGTTTGTTTCGGTAGTATAAACGCATTGCACCAATAGCCAATGATTCTGGAGATTATTAAACCTAATAGTTGAAGTCTGACTGAAAATGAGAGAGACCTGGCAGACCAAGATTCAATTCTGGTTCTGATTTTTCCATGCAATGGAAGACAATCAATAGCAGAAAGTTTTCGGGAGGAAAGGGGAATACCCAAATAATGAAAGAGAAGGCTTGCCTGTTCAATACCAGTGAGTGCACTCATACGTTGAATCTGATCATGCGAGCATCCCCCTGTATAGATACTTAATTTGGTTCTGTTAATAATATACGAGTCCTCTCCAAAGTGGTTAAGCACTTTTATTAAGGATTTTAAGGAAGAGTTTGACTCGTTAGTAAAAACAAGGAGATCATCGACGAAGGCCAAATGGGCGGTCTTCTTCCGCAACTTTATCTAGCATCGCTGAAAGGACAGACATACTCAGAATGATTAGATAAGGAGATAATGGACAACCTTGTCGCAAACCTCTAGTGCCAGGGAAATATCCAAACAGTCCCCCATTGATTGCTACAGAGTAGTGTGTCATGGTAATACAAGCCTCAATAAGTGAAGTGAGACGTCGAGGAAGACCGAGAACATTCAGAACTGACAAGATAAAAACCCATTTAATTAAGTCAACTGCTTTTGCAATGTCTAGTTTAAAGGTGGCTCTGCTCGAGATGTTCAGCTTGTGATAACCTTGCAGACTTTCTGCAGCAAGGAAGCAGTTCTCCATAATGCTTCGACCAGTCACATAAGCATATTGATTCCGGGGTGTTATAGCCTCTATAATCAGTTTGAGCTGTGAAGAAAGGAGTTTACTAATTACCTTTGTAAATAGTATTGCAGCATGATATAGGCCAGAAATCCACTAGGTTTTCTGCACCTTCCACCTTTGGTATTAGTACTATAGTAGTTGCATTGACTGACTTTGGAAGGAAACCTGAGCTAAGAAAATGTCGGACTAACTGCGTGAATTCAGCGCCAAGTATGTCCTAGGTTTTCTTATAAAACTCAGTTGTAAATCCGTCTACGTCAGGTGTTTTATTCGAAGGCATAAGCATAAGCGCAACCTTTATTTCCGAATCAGTGAAGGAGAGGCCAGCTGCACGGAGCACATCATCAGGGGCACGTGAGACATAGGCTCCCATGCGAGATTGGGATCGAGTAATGCCTGTCTTTGCGGGCAGGTCGGGCCAAGAATAGATTTAGAGTAATCCACTACCATTGACGAAATACTATCTGGATTTACAACTCGTTGTCCCTCCGAGGTAATCAGATGGCGTATAGCATTACTTGACCTTCTGAGTAGAAGAGATCTGTAGAAATATCTTGTATTCTGATCTCCAACTCGCAGCCAGTGAACACGTGCTTTTTGCTTCATAAATTTCTCCTCAATCTCTTTGAGGTGCGTCCAACGTTCCAGACATTTGTGTCCTCAGCAAATGAATGTCTAGTCGGATTATGAAGAGCATGTTCCTGCGCATGTAACAAAAGAGAGTGTGAATCGAGTACCCTTTTCTGAATACCGCTACAGTTATCTTTACACAAGGTTTTAATAGAGATCCTGATTTTCTGGTGAAAAGCCGATAGAGTTGAAGCTCCTTGTCCCGTCATGTGCTAAGAGGTAGCAATAGTGGGTATAAATCGAGGGTGATCAAGTATAAAGTTGAATACTTTGAATGGTTTTTGGTGGGATTTTGTGTGAGTTTCAAGAGATATTAAACAGGAGGAGTGATCCGATGGGTGAAGTGGGTTGAAGGTCGCATGGCTTGGTGGGAAGGTAATGATCCAAGCTTCATTGATCAATGTTCGATCACGTTTATTGGCTATGGGGTTTTCGGTATGTTTATTAGGCCAAGTGAAAAGTGGACCTTGAAAAGAAAGGTCAAAGGTGGCGGTGGTATAGATAAGGTTGAGGAAGCGGGACATGGGTGGAGTTTGATAAGAGACAGTAGATGAAGAATATTCATGGGGGAAGACAATTTCATTGAAGTCCCCACATATCATCCACGGAGTATCATGTGGAATGTGAGAGCGGTAAAGATCGCATATGTGATCCCATAACGTGACTCATTCAGAAAGAAGATTTGATTATCGGAGCACAAAAAGAGAGTAATAGTCTGCCTGGCCTCAAAAAGTATGAGATTGTGACAATTGGGTTGATAAGTACCCAAATACGACCATCATCATCTTCTGAATAATTATCAATGCATTGCCACTGCAGCCCGAGCTTGTGCAAAATGTCGGGTTTCGAGGATGGCTCCAAAAAGCAGAGAGTTATTCCCGAAACGCTCTCTGATTGCCGTATATTTCTTTGGATCATTTATGCCTCTTACATTCCAAAAAAAGGGAGACATAGCATCAGATTCGGTTATGGATCTCCTACTGCAGGATTCACACCTTCAAGCCTTGGTGGATAGGTGGTAGGTAGGGACAGATTCATATTTTAATTAAGTAAAACTAAAAACTAGTGAATATAAATCAATCTATATATATATATATATATATATATATATATATATATATTGAATTTGATTCGGAGTGATTTGGTTGAAACACAGGATCCAACTTATTATCTGTGTAATTTGTTTTTAAATATTTATTTTTATTTAAAAATCCATTAAAATTAATGAGTAAATGTAAATAAATAATACATTAGTAATTGTAATAAAACATGAAATAAATAATAAAAGTAGTAGAGGTAAAAGTAAAGAGATGTTCATTATTGTGCTTTCAAATTCTATTATTTTCTAATAAAAATGATTAATCAATAGGAAAAAATGTCTAATATATATATATATGAAGATCTATATATATATTTGGTGAAGACACCTAGGATCTAACTCATTATCTATGTGTAATTTGTTTTTAATTTTTAATTTTTAATTTAAGATTCATTAAATTAATGAGTAAGTGTACATCAAATAATACATTAGTAACTGTAATAAAACATGAAATAAATAATAAAAGTAGTAGAGATTAGGGGTGGGCATAATATCCGAAAAACCGAACCGATCTGTTATTCGATTCGTATTCGAATCGAAAATTCGGATATCCGGAGTTCACGGATCGGATACGGATATTAGTTTCAAAATATTTGTCGGATACGGATCGGATACGGATATCAAAATAGAATTATCCGACATATCTGATCCGATCCGGACTTTTTAGTAATATTAATAATATATGAATGATTTGATAATTATTTTATATTTAAGGATAACATTGTAATAAATAAAAGATGTTCTAGGGTTTTGTTTATCATTTTTCTCTTTGTTCATTTGTCCGCCACCTCTCTCGTCTCTCTCCCCCTCTCTCTCTCTCACCTCTCTCTCTCTCTCCTCCTTACTCCATCATTTCTATCATTTCTATTTATTATTTGAATACTTTCACAGAACCATTGACAAAATCTTAAGTTAAAATCTTTTACGAGAACGCAGAGTTCGCTTGTTGGGGCAAGACCAACATCATCGCCGGCGGAAAAATCTGTGCAGCGGAGAAAATTATTTCCATCACACTGAGGGTCCTTGAAGAAACAGATACTCTCTCTAGTTGGTGGTGGGGTTGGTCATCTTCACCGGCGGCTTCATCAATAAAAACGTCATCGTTGGACAAGTCGAGCAAGTTGTCGACGAAGAAATCTTCAAAACAAATCAGCGGAGAAGTTTATTTCTTATCTTTATTATTTTTTATGTATCGGATACGGATATTCGTAAATATCCGTAGTTTTTTCGGATATCCGAAATTACGAATATCCGAAAACTGCGGATCGGATCCGGATAATAAATTTTAATATTTGCACGGATCGGATACGGATACGGATATCGTAAAAATTCCGGATATCCGATCCGTGTCCACCCCTAGTAGAGGTAAAAGTAATGAGATGCTAATTATTTTGTTTTCAAATTGTATTATTTTCTAACAAATATGATTAATCAGTAGAAAAAAATGTCTAATATATATATATTGATCTACATATATATATACATATATATTTGATGAAGACACAGGATCCAACTCATTACTATGTGTAATTTATTTTAAAATTTTAATTTATATTTAAAAATCTATTAAATTAAGGAGTAAATGTATAAAAATAATACATTAATAATTGTTATAAAATATGAACTAAATAATAAAAGTAGTGGACTTAAAAGTAATGAGATGTTAATAATTTTGTTTTCAAATTTTATTATTTTCTAATAAATATGCGTAATCAGTAGGAAAAATGTCTAATATATATATGTTGATCTATATATATATATATACATATATATTTGATGAAGACACTGGGATTCAACTCATTACTATGTATAATTTTTTTTTAATTTTTAATTTTTATTTAAAAATCCATTAAATTAATGAGTAAATGTATATAAAGAATACATTAGTAATTGTAATAAAATATGAAACAAATCATACAAATAGTGGAAGTGAAAGTAATGAGATGTTAATTATTTTGTTTTCAAATTCTATTATTTTCTAATAAATATGATTAATAAATAGAAAAAATGTATAATATATATATACATATATATATATACATAGATATAACTATATGTGAGGATCTTTTTCCTTCATTTGAAGTGAAATCGAAATAGAATCATATAATAAACCTTTATAGAAAGTACGTAGACTATTGGAAATATCTATAGTTTGATTTGGAGTTATTTGGGGAAGACGTTTAGAATCCAACTCATCATGTATGCGTAATTTGTTTTAAATTTTTATTTTTATTTAAAAATATATTAAATTAATGAGTAAATATATATAAATAATACATTAATAATTGTAATAAAGTATGAAGTAAATAATAAAAGTAGTGGAGTTAAAAACTAACGAGATGTTAATTATTTTGTCTTCAAATTCTATTATTTTCTAATAAATATGATTAATGAGTAGAAAAAAAATGTCTAATATATATATATAAAAGAATCTATATATGTATAGATATAGATATATTTGAGGATGTTTTCCTTCATTTGAAGTGAAATGGAAATCGAATCATGTAAAACATTAACAAAAAAAAAGAATCATGTAAAACATTTCTAGAAAATAGACTATTGGAAATATATATATATACATATATATATATATATATATATTTCTAATATTCACCAATTGAAAGCACAATTGCCCTCTCTTCTGTTTAAACGGATCATGTAATAAATGGTGTGTATATATATATATATATATATTTCTGATATTGACCTATGGAAACATACAATTTCCTTCCTCTATCTATTATACGAATCATGTAACCAATGGTTGGTTGATTTTTTTTTCGATTTGTTTTTTAAACATCCATTTTAGAAATAGTTAATAATGATTTTAATAAATATTTTATATTAGTATATTGTCATTTGCCATCATCCATGTGGCAATTTATTAATTATCATTGGCCATTTTTAAAAAAGTTGTAAAAAGATTTATATGATATCTATAATACAAAACATTGAGTAAACATATTATTATTGTTCAAAAAGGGATAAATTTCATCTTTATTATGTAAAAATTAATTTGTTCTTAATTTTATATATTATTAGAGTTTTATTTCATATATATATATATATATATTAAATCTAAATATATTTGAAGATATAAAAAAATATCAATATCTTCTAATAAATTTAAGAAAAAAATACTTGAAAATTTATGAACTTGTAATTTGGTATAATATTAACTTTTAAACTTGTAGGTGCGTCTATTTATTCTCGAACTTGCATTTTTTAATATAGTAATTCCTGAACATTTTTGAACACCGTAATTCCTAAACTTATATTTCTGAACACAGTAATTCCTAAACTTTGCTTCGATCAATTAGTGGTATGGACGATTATGAAACTGTTAAACAAGTTTAGGAATTACTGTGTTAAAAAATACAAGTTCATGAATAAATAGGTGCATTGACAAGTTCATGAATTATTATTACACCAAATTAAAAGTTGAGAAATTTTTAGGTATTTTTTCCTAAATTTAAAAATAAAACAGTTTATCTTGATTTTATATGTTACCGATGATAATATAAATGACACTATTCTAATTTTTTTATTATAATTAAAAAATAAAAATAAAAAATTATACCAAAAATATTGTCCAATTAACCCACTCATAAAACCAAAAACGGACAATAATATTCATCAGTCTACCATTATTATTATTATGAGAATAAATGAAAAGTAATATATTTTATTATTAATAAATAAATAAATAAAACTAAGAAAATCCTAAAAAAATCATTCAACTTTCAAATTTTGACAAACAAAACATTGAACTTTTTATTTTATCAAATAAATATTAAACCTTTTAAATTTGATAAAATAAATACTTAGCTCTCTAACGATTGTCAAAATAAACAAAATGACTAACGTGGCACAAAGAGATGCAAATAACAACAACAACAAGATCGCCTTAATCTCAAGTTTATTTGGGATCGACCGCATAAATTCTTCTTTTTCATTCATTTAGGTTTTGCGTCATATTCTCCGGTATTTACAACATATCCAAGTCAAATCTAATGACTCGTTCTCAAGTAGGTCTAGGTCTACCTAGGGGTGTCAAAATGACCGGGTCGGATCGGTCCGAACCCGACACAAGCCCGAATATTTACGAATCGGGCCGGCCTGGTCCGAAAAACCAACGGGCCAAAAATCTTCGGCTCGGAACACAGCCCTATGGGCTTTTTTCGGGTTCAGACCGGACTTCGGGCTTGAATTTTTAAAAAAAATTATAAACAAATTAAAATAATTAAAATACAAAAAAATTTGATACATTTCGTGATAATAAAAAGATAAAAAAATAAATTTAAATTTAAATTTTTTTAATTTTATATGGTAATAAATTTTTAAAAATGATAAATTATTATATTTTTCATTTGGAATAATTATTTGAAACTAATAGTATTATGATTTTGA